CATCCTATCCAAAGGGGGGCCCATGGCAGCTGCCCCAACTGACCTCTGGACAGAATGGTCCTCCATACTCATGTTAGCTCACAGAGCCCTGGGTGGGCTGGGGTTAGTCTGGATGCTCTCTTTCTAAAAAGCCTGCTTGCTTTCAAGAACGCCTTCTTTCGAAAGAGCACTTTCGAAAGAAGGCGTTCTTCCTCGTGGAATTAGGTTTACCACCGTCGAAAGAAAAGCCGCATTCTTTCGATTTAATTTCGAAAGAACGCAGCTGCAGTCTAGACGCAGGTGAAGTTTTTTCGAAAAAAGGTTACTTTTTTCGAAAAAACCCCTGAGTCTGGACACAGCCTTGGTGCTGAAAGGAGAACACACTCTTCTTTTCAATTTCCCTTTTCAGCCCAGCTCCTTCTCAATGGAGCCACTTGCTGACTCTTATAATCACTTGCTCCCTCCCCAGCTGGGTCTGATAATTGAACAATGATAACTGGCCCTAGGCTTCTGACCCTTAAAGGGACAGCCCACCCTGTAACCTTCTGATTCTCTTCTCTTGTTTTCCACCCTTGAAAGTTAACTTTAAGGAGAAGCACCTGATTTAGTCCGTGCTAAGTAAAAGGATGTCAGGGTCAATCAGTGTAAAATTAATATTTCTTTAATCCGTTGATAGATCTTAATCATCTAGTTTAAACTTCTGCATGCAAAACATGCAAAAGCCTTACATATTTTTTTGGTGTCTGTTCTTCCCACTTTTTGTCATGTAGGCTTCTTTGAAAATTGCTTGGAACCACTTAGCGCTTAACCTACCACTGTCAGATGTTCAAAAGTCTGTGTTCTCTGCTGTTGCACTGGATAGCAATTGATTACTTTTTTACTATTTTTTTTTTTGCCCTATGTTATCCGTGAATCAGAGTTCAAGCCAAAATAGTAAATGAACACAATATTTTGAAAGTGAATTATAGTAGAAGCTGAAATGAATTAGTCCATTGATCCCATGGACAATTTCCATGATGCTTTAAAGTAAAATTTTTTGAAAAGTTAATAGCTTTCATGTAATTTAGAAACATCCCCAAACAGATTAGCAAATTGATTTGCAGGTGGAGGGCAGAGGGTTATTTGCCATGATGAAGTGACTGGAAATTATTTACCTGTGGTATGTGAGTAAATTTACAGGTGAGTTTTAAATTGAATGGGACTCTTGTGAAAGTGTTTGCAGGGCCTTAATATTATTTTGTCACAGTATCAAAAGGAGGGAACTAAAATTAAACAAAGAGAATGAAGCAATAGACCTTAGCCTGAATTACTATTATAATTGTTTATATAAGGTTTCAGTATTTTATAGGTTTTAATGGTACTGTGCAGGACAAGTAAGACACATGATTAAATTCTTCTCTCGCTTATGCTAGTTTCAATTTAAAGTAAGCAGAGACTGCATCACAGGTACTCCAGACTCACATCAGTGTAAATGAAAGCAGAATCTGATTCATTATGAGCTTGATTCTAATATCTATTACACTTGTGTATAATTGATACATGATCAGACCATATAGCTCTGTAGTCCTCGATAGCAGAAAGGCCTTAAGATTCTGAACTCTGTGGTGTTGTCTTTCTGGCTAGAAAGTACGGCAGAGCAGGGTTGTTTAAAAATGCTTAATCAGGAACCATACAAACTCCTGACTAAGCTTTTTAAATAACAAAGTTTAAGTTTAAAACCAGCAGGGCATAAGAAATTCCCAGTGCAGTGAGTACCAAATCATTAGTCTGAACCACTTTTAATTTCTGCTTGGAATTTGTTAGTGGAGTGGTGTGGTTAATTAAACTGTGTTCTCACTTTTGTATAAAAAAGCATGCCGTGATTGTACATTCATTTTTACTAATCAGAAGATTTTCAGAAACAGTGCAGCTAGCTACTGCTATCATTTTATTTTGGAATAGGGAATAAAATTCTCATAGAAAAGGCTTGCCCTCTGCTATGTATCAATCATGGAATTTGTTAGTGGAGTGGTGTGGTTAATTAAACTGTGTTCTCACTTTTGTATAAAAAAGCATGCCGTGATTGTACATTCATTTTTACTAATCAGAAGATTTTCAGAAACAGTGCAGCTAGCTACTGCTATCATTTTATTTTGGAATAGGGAATAAAATTCTCATAGAAAAGGCTTGCCCTCTGCTATGTATCAATCATCG